TGGGGGCAGGGGCTGTTCCAGTCACTCTCACGCACGGGAGGTAGGCCCGGAGCAATGAATGCAAGAGATACTGCACCGGTTGGACTTCCTTTAACATCACTTTTAGGCGAGAGAAATCTTTGCCAATTAGCATCCCAGCAGGCTGCTCAGAAAACCCAATCCTGGAATCGACAGGGCTCCAGCCCTCCTCTTGACTCTGGCTGGGTCACGGGGATTTCTGCAGCACCGGAGCTGCAGAGGGGCCCTGGGACCAGATCATCTGGCTGCCCTGGTTGCCATGGAGATACCTGCCTCCCCAGGGGACCTCCCTGCCAGCAGATTCTGCTGCTCCCGTGCCGCTTTGGGGGCCCAGGGGAATCTTATTGAGGCCAAGGGTTCCAGAACGTCCTACACAGCCATGCCCTTGCCATCTCCCATGGAGGTCGCGGTGGGGCGGTGCCCACCTCTGTCCCTGTCTCTTGCTGCTCTCAAAAGCCCTCTTTGCCCCTTTTCCTCTGAGAAGCTGAATCTACCTGATGATGCCATAGCCTTGTATTTTTGCCTGGCCACACATATTCTTCTCTTTATTATTTTTTAAAAGATTTATTTGAAAGACAGAGTTACGGAGAGAGGCAGAGACAGAGAGAGAGAAGTCTTCCATCCACTGGCTCACTCCCCAGTTGGCTGCTACGGCCAGAGCTGTACCAATCCGAAGCCGGGAGCCAGCATCTTCCTCCAGGTCTCCCACGTGGGTGTAGGGACCCAAGGACTTGGGCCATCTTCTACTCTTTCCCAGGCCACAGCAGAGAGCTGGATCGAAGAGGAGCAGCCGGGACCAGAACCAGTGCCCATATGGGATGCTGGCGCCCCAGGCCAGGGCGTTAACCCACAGCACCACAGCGCCAGCCCCTATTCTTCTCTTTAAATCCCCTCCACAAGCTAAGGGAAGGATGTTACTGCACCCACGGCACAGAGGTAAGAAGGAGGGCTGGGAGAGGCTGAGTCTCCGAGGCAGGAGGAAGTGCAGGTGCTCCCTGGGCACTTCGGCACCTGTGCCCTGTGCCCTGCCCTTGGCTGCTCCAGGGATAGCACCCCAGAGCCAGGAGCACAGTGATGAGGAAGCGGGCGTTCGCTGTGGGCATCACTTTCCCACATGCAACCCCGGTGCCATGATGCCTGCACAGGCCCCCGGGGCTGGGACGACCTCCCGCCTCGGGAAGATGGGCTCCAGTAGACCCCTTCCCGAAATGCTGCCAGCAAGGAGCACACAGCCACAGCCCTGACACCAGCAAGGAAATCGGCCAGGCCTTTTTTTTCCGGGGGATGAAATTGAAGTCCTGAGAGAGGAAAGTCACCCAGGAGCTTACGGCCACTTGAGAACTGATCTTCCCGCTGCCCTGGGCACCTGCCACGGGACTGCCCTCTCACCTGCATCCCGCCTGGGGCAAAGTGTGTGTGTGGCAATAACCGCTTCCAGTGCACCGGGCATCGGCCAGCCAGGACCTGTCTAGGGTGCCTAGGGCCACCTCCCTGCCCTGTGCGACGAGGCCAGTCCGGTAGCTCCCTTTGGAACTGAAAGGTGTTTTTCCGAGCCCTCTGCCCCTGGACTGTCCAGGAGGACTGCGGAGGCTGCAGCCCAGAGCTAGGACCCGTGCGATCCCAGTAAGCAAGCACCTACCACGCACACCCACGTGTCCACTCAGAGCAGAGACGGCCTGAGAAGCGGCCGTGCCGGATGGCCATGGGACCCAGGCAAGTCCCACAGGACTCCACCTACAGGGATTTGGCTCTGCTGTCGCTGTCTTGAAATTCATAACCGTTTTTGAACAAAGAGGCCCTTGTGATTTCATTTTGAACTCAGCCTGGCAAGTTACGGAGCCAGCTCAGGGAATGGGTGAGCAACTGGCAGTGTGGAAGTGGGAGCCAGAGAAGGGGCTCCAGCACAGGGAACACAAGGTCCCAGCTGAAGGGGGAAGGCGCTGAGCGGGGAGGGAGGAACAGGCTCCAAGCAGGGGAGCAGCGCGTATAACACCCTGAAGGACCAGTGCCGTGCACCACAGACCCGCCGCAGTCGAGGGTGGGGGGAGCGGTGATACACCACAAAATTGAAAAGGGAACCAGGGGGCCAGTGTGGAGGTGCAGCGGGTAAAGCCCCCACCTGTGATGCCGGCATCCCTCGTGAGCGCTGGTTCCTGTCCCGGCTGCTCCAGTTCTGATCCAGCCCCCTGCTAATGGTCTGGGAAAGTGTTTGGGCCACTGCACCTATGTGGGAGACCTGGATAGAGTTCCTGGCTCCTGGCTTCAGCCTGGCCCAGCCCTGGCCATTACACACATTTGGGGAGTGAAACAGAGGATGGAAAATCCCACTTTCTATCAAATCAATCATTCAAAAAATAAATATATAAATCATTTATTTTAAAAAAATAAGATATTTCTCTTGGTGCAGAAAATTTTGAAATGCAAGCATAGTTTTTTCATAAAACACATTTTCCACAAATTTCTTGAAGACTTTATTCAATGACTGGTTATCCACATGGGGGAAAAGCAGAGACCCACCTCACACAATGCACAAAAGTAAATTCCAGGCCAGGGGCCCAGCATTGCACCACCTGTAACCCTGGCAGCCCATATGAGTGATGGTTCAAGTCTCACCTGCTCCACTCCCAATGCAGCTCCCTGCTAATGCTCCTGGGAGAACAGCAGCAGATGGCCCAAGTCCTTGGGCCCCTGCTCCTACATGGGAGACATAGACGTAATTCCAAGCTCCTAGCTTTGGCCTGGTCCAGCCCTGGCCATTGCAGCCATTTGAGAAGTGACCCCGTGGATGAAAGTGCTCTGTGTGTGTGTCTCCGTCTCTGTAACCCTTTCAAATAAATAAATAAATTTTTTTTTTGACAGGCAGAGTGGACAGTGAGAGAGAGAGACAGAGAGAAAGGTCTTCTTTTTGCCATTGGTTCACCCTCCAATGGCCGCCGCAGCCGGCACACTGCGGCCGGCGCACCGCGCTGATCCAATGGCAGAAGCCAGGTGCTTCTCCTGGTCTCCCATGGGGTGCAGGGCCCAAGCACTTGGGCCATCCTCCACTGCACTCCCGGGCCACAGCAGAGAGCTGGCCTGGAAGAGGGGCAACCGGGACAGAATCCGGCACCCTGACAGGGGCTAGAACCCGGTGTGCCGGTGCCGCAAGGCGGAGGATTAGCCTAGTGAGCCGCGGCGCCGGCCTAAATCTTTAACATAAATAAATAAATTCCAGGTGGTTTAAAGACCTGAATGTGAAAAGCATAGGTTTGAACCTTTCAAAAAAAAAATGTCTTCATCAACCCAGGTCAGAAAAAGAAGTTCATTAATGGGAAGGATCTTTTCCTAAAAAGCTGAGGCCAGCATTAACACCAGAATAAAAGGCGAGATTTATAAATTGTCTTGCAAGGGGATTTTAAAATTTCACAGAACAAGGAGCCAGAATTGTGTCCCAGCGAGTTAAGCTGCTGCTTGTGATGCCGCATCCCGTATCAGAGCGCCAGTTAAGTTCCGGCTGCTCCACTTCCAACCCAGCTCCCCGCTAATGCATCTGGGATAGCAGCAGATGATGGCCCAAGTGCTGGGGCCCCTGCCACACACATGGGAGACCAGAATGGAGTTCCCGGGTCCTGCCTCTAGCCTAGACAGCCCCAGCCATTGCGGCCATTAGGGGAATGAATCACTGGATGGAAGATTCTCTCCCCACCCGCCCCGTGTCACTCCACCTTTCAAGAATAAATAATCAAAAAAAATTCATAGAACAGAATACTGGGTGCCCCAAGCCCCGTGCAGCACAGCCTCAGGTTGGCAGGTGGGGCGTCAGCTTCTGAGACTGCCATGGACGTGACCCTGGGACGCCCAGGGCTTCTGGCCGTGGTTCCCCCTTCCTGATGTCCAGGAAGTCAAACCATCACTCAAAAGAGCATTCAGTAAATATAGAACCAAAACAAACTTCCAGCAACAATTAGCTTCCCCACTCTGGGGGTTTCCATCTGGAGGGCTGCCGCCCTGCCCCACTGCAGACCCTTCCCACCCTCCGAGTGGTCAGCCCCTCAGTGGTCTTCCCTGGCCCTGTCACTGTCACAGTGCCCTGTCCCAGCCCTTCTGAGCACTTCTCTCCAGCCTTCAACACTAAGAGTGCATAAACCAGCAGTCTAGGGGGCTGACACACTTAGTTGTGCTTGGCTTGCAGATTTCCTCCAACAATTCGATTCTTGGGTAATATTTAAAAACCCAGAGATGTTGCATAAACATCTGGATTTCCAGGCTCTCCTGAAAAAGAGCCGGCACAAAGGTCGAGGTCCCCGCCGCGCCCCGTTCCACGGCAGGCACCCCGCGGCCTGCACGCCTCTCCCTCTCTCCCTTGCCGGCCCCCGGTCCCCTGTCACCCGGCTCAGCCCTGCGGCCGAGCGTGTTTCAGTAAACAAACAGGGAAGGTGACCGCCTGAAGGGCAGCTTCAGCCCAGCCCCGGGAACGCCCTGCACGTCCCGAGCTGCGCGCAGACGGGTCCGTCTCGTGCGGACCAGAATCCCAGAGGAGATTATCCGGCTCTCCGAACAGACAGGGCTCAGGCTCTGCGGGAACTGCTATTTTGACTCTAGCAACGGAGCGCCGCGCTCCTTCCGTGATTCAGTGGGTAGGCAAATGGGGACGGCGGTGCGGGATCGCGTGCTTCGGCGGCTCGCCATCTAAGTCCTCTCTGAGAAGTACCAACCAACCCCCTAAGATACCCCCTTGCCAACAGGCAGGGCTGCAACGGGGTCAAGGTGGAGCGTGCCAAAGGACACAGTGCGCAAGCGCGCTCGAAACCGTCAGTTTCCTCGGCAGCCCAGATACCGTCCACCCGCACCGCGCAGGCGCGCGGGAGGACCACGCCTTCCCTCCCCCTCCCGCCCTCCTGCCGCAGCTTTCCTGCGCAAGCGCCGTCCCACGTCCCCGCCCCCGGGCCAATTGGAAGAGGCGGCGCCAGGGCGCCTGGGAGCGCGACGCCGTGGGTGGGACCAGGACGTGAGGGCAGCGCGCTGGCGTCACAGGGGAGGCTATATAAGTGAATACAGGCGCCGCCCCTCCGCCCCAGTCACTGAGCCGCCGCCGAGGACTCAGCAGCCTCCCCCTCGAGCCCCCTCGCTTCCCGACGCTCCGTCCCCCCCGCCCGCCTTCTCCCGCCGCAGCCTTCCGCAGGCCGTTTCCACCGAGGAAAAGGAATCGTATCGTATGTCCGCTATCCAGAACCTCCACTCTTTCGGTAAGCACGGGACAGGCCGCGGGCCCTGGTGGGAGAGCGAGGCGCCGGGCCCGCCCAAGGGGCCCCGGAAGCTGCCCGGCGTTTCGGGCCTCTGGAAGCTCGGGCGGAGGGGAGACATCGGGCGGGTGCGGCGGCGAGGCCTCGGACAGGGACCTGGGGTCGGTTCCCGAGCGCGACCGGAAGAAGCCGGCGGGAGGTCAGCCCTTGGGCGGGCCCGGCGTCTCGGGTGGCGCATTTACTAATGGCTCCTGGACCTCCTCGGGCCACACCCGCCCCCTCCCGCCAGCCCTGCGTCACGTCCGGCACGTCACTCGCCGTTGTCACGGGGCCGGGAGTGAAAGGCGGCGCCAGCCCTAAGTGACAGCGGAGCCCGCCAATAGGGCTGGCAAGCCTGGCCCCGCCTCTGGGGCCCAGGTTCCGGCCGGTTGCATCAGCCGGGTGGGGCGCAGCCTGCCAGCCCGGGCTCTGACGACACGTGATCGGCTTCGGAGGGCGGGTCTCGGGTGAGAGGCCCAGGCTTTCTCCAGGCCCGGGGAACCGGCCATCCCAGGCCGACCTGTTCCGAACCATGCATCGCCCTGACGTTGCTGGCGCACAGAAGACCCGGCGGGAGGGTGGCAGTGGCATCTGACCCAGGACAAGCCCCAACGCCCTTCTCTTTCCTCCCTAGACCCCTTTGCTGATGCAAGTAAGGGTGATGACCTGCTTCCTGCTGGCACTGAGGATTATATCCATATAAGAATTCAACAGAGAAACGGCAGGAAGACCCTTACTACTGTCCAAGGGATCGCTGATGATTACGATAAAAAGAAACTAGTGAAGGCGTTTAAGAAGGTGGGAAAGGCCCGCTGGTCCTGGGCAGGGGCGGGAGGGCGCCCGGGCGGGGCGTGTCCTGACTCCTGACTGGGTTTGTGCTTGCAGAAGTTTGCCTGCAATGGTACTGTGATTGAGCATCCGGAATATGGAGAAGTGATTCAGCTGCAGGGTGACCAGCGCAAGAACATATGCCAGTTCCTGGTCGAGGTGAGTGCAGCAGCGCCCCGGCTGCCACTGGTTCTCAGTCTTCCGGTTCTGCTGGGCAGAAGTTTGCATAGCAAGGAGAATGAGCCTTGATGTGGCTAGACGAATACACATTTAAAAACAGGGGATTTGTCTGCCTTTGCCAGTTAAGTACTAAAGTCTTGTTGGCATCGTTGGACCTGGCTGAAGTTGAGGCATGTCCACATTCTCGTCCTCACTGGGAATCATGGGAGGCCCGGGGTCTCGCGCTCTGAGCTGTGCAGTGCGGCTCCCCCTGCGCCCTCCGTAACGTCCTTGCGCTCTTCTCTTTGCAGATTGGACTGGCTAAGGACGACCAGCTGAAGGTTCATGGGTTTTAAGTGCTTGTGGCTCACAGAAGCTTAAGTGAGGATTTCCTTGCGATGAGTAGAATTGCCCTTCTGTCCCTTGTCACAAGTTTAAAAACCTCACAGCTTGTATGATGTAACCATTTGGGGTCCGCTTTTAACTTGGACTAGTGTAACTCCTTCATGCAATAAACTGAAAAGAGCCATGCTGTCTAGTCTTGAAGTCCCTCATTTAAACCGAGGTCAAGCAGTAGGCGCCTGGCGGTGTCCAGCCTGAAACAGCCAAGCCCGCAGCCCCGAGGTCAGAGACGGCTGTGTCTGGCAGAAGCTCCTCGCCCGCCCTGCCCTAGGAGATGCCACCACCTTCCCAACCCTCAGTGAGGCTGGGGATGGGTGCGGCAGCAGCAGCAGCTGCACCGCTAGAGAGGTAAGGTGGCCTGGCGCCCCCGGCCGGGCCAGGTGAACAGAACACACGTGGAGTTCAGAGGCCACCCTCCCTCCGGTGAGGTGACCAGCCGTACCCTAGCCGGGGGGTGTCCAGACACCAGTGTGAGGACAAGGGAACAAATTCTGAGCGATGTCATCAGTTCGAGCTAGCTGTAGAGCTTGCCACCTAACTAGCACCAGCTTCCTGATGCCACGTGAAGTAACAAACTGGTTTTTGGTTTTTGCCTTCAGTTTTAATGTTATGTGATGTATTTAAGATCATTATTTAAATAAAACTTGTTTTCAGAAACATGTGACGTGCAGATTCGACTTCATGTGTGTAGTCAGCCTTGGGTATGTGCGGGGGTGGCCGGGGGTGGGGGTTCTGCACCCGCAGCCTTTGCCCTCAGCTGGGCGGCCAGGAAAGCCTCTGGCGAGCGTGTGCCCCCCCCCCCCGGGTGACACTGCTGCGTGGATGTTAGAAGCCAGGCTGCCTGGCTGGTAGCCCAGTGGTACAGTGGCAGCTGAGCTTGGGCGTGGAGGAGCTTCCCAGGGCGGTGACAGAAGACAGGGGCCCTTGACCCGGGGCCTGCAAACTCCCAGGAAAGTCCGAGTGTGTTTCCAGCAGTGAACTTGTCTGCTGATTGCGGAGCTGGGACTTCACGTTGGGAGGCCGTCCCTACCAGTGTAATAGTGAGTGCCCTGTGTCCACTCTTAAACAAAGGTGTTCCCTGCACAGAGCCTTTTGTAGGTAAAAGGTTGGAGTTGAGGCCAAGCCGGGACAGCCTGGAGCCACCCGAGATTCTGCAGGATGGGTTGTTCCCAGGTGAAGCTGACGCTGCCTGTGGAACCCCACATACACTGATCTGAGGGAGTGGTGAGATCTGGGTGCCCTGAGCCGGCCAGTGCACCCTCAGGTGTGTGTGAGGGCTGAAGCAGCAAAAGCACTGGGTGGGTGAGGAAATGAGACTCCCAGGGAGAGTGGGGCCTCGCTGAGAACCCGCTGCAGACAGCGTTCAGAGTTCCTTAATGTTTTTATTTTGAAAGGTGGAGTTGGCTCCATCCACCAGTTCACTCCCCAAATGGCTATAATGACCAGGGCTGGGCCAGGCCGAAGCTGGGAACCAGGAGCTCCTATTTGGGTCTCCCATGTAGGTGGCAAGTGCCCAAGTACTTGGGCCATTTGCTGCTGCTTTCCCAGGGGCCCTAGGAGGCTGGAGTGGGAGTGGAGCAGGTGGACTTGGCACCTGTGTGGGGATGCTGGCGTTTGCAGGCAGCAACTTAACCTCAGGTGGCAGAGTGCTGCGCTGGGGAAGCTGATATCTGGAGGGGATGTGGATCAGCACAGCCTGGACACAGGACCCAGGTGTCACTGGCTTGGCCAGAGAGCCACTCACACCCTCAACCACGGGCACCAGGAAGACCCAAAGGAGGAGCCCTCTGAAGCCGTGTATTCCAGGTGGAGGGAACGCGCCCTGCAGGAATGGGAACCGGTGCCTATGAGAAGCTGAGAGCCGGAACTGGCTGGAGCAGGACCCGTGCTCGGCACCCCAGGGACATCGCCTCCCTCGTTTCACAGCAGGGACACATGAGCCCTGTTGGGGAGCAGGACCAGTGAGGCTGATGCAGCCTGCAAAGTAAGAGAAGGGAGCAGCAGACGTGGGAGGAACGGCCGCTGAGAGGGAGTGGGCCAGCCGCAAGCTCAGACCCTCAGACCATACCATGAGGGAGAATGGGGTGAAGGCGGCCCTCAGAGCCCTGCCCAGCCCCGCGGCTCAGGCCCCAGCCCTCCAGCCCCTGCCCTCCCTCCCACAACAAGAGCACACTGTCACAGACATTTCTTAAAATGACCTTCCGTACACAGTGAAAACTGGTCAGCCGAAGCCACACCGCAATTCATCTAAGTGGCTAAAACCGAGCCAAGGGGCAGGGATTGTGCCACAGTTTAAGCCATTGCCTGGTCACCAGCACCCCCTCAGAGCCATCCCCTGTGGGTTGGAGTCCAGCTCCCTGCTAACGTGCCTGGGTAGGCAGTGGATGGGTCCCTGCTACCCAACATGGGAGCCTCGATGGAGTCCTGGCTTCAGTCTGGCCCAGCCCTTGTTGTGGCCATTTGGGGAATGAACCAGCAGGTAGAGAACTCTCTTTCCCTGTCTCTTGCTCTACCTTTCAAATAAATAAATCTTTGGGAAAAAAAAATTTTAACTATTCAAATTGCTGTAAGCTCCATGAATAGGTAAAACACACCCTGTATCCAGAGAACTGAACACCAACCAGCTTTGGGAGAATTGAGGCCCTTGCTTTCCAGCCTCAATGGTGCCCCCTTGTGGTGTTAGTGGAAAAACAGCTTATACACAAGGCTTTGGGATTACAAACTCCTTGACAATTTTTTTTTTTTTTAGGATTTATTATTTATTTGAAAGGCAAAGTTGCAGAGAGAGAGAGAGAGAGGTCTTCCATCCACTCCCCCAGATGACCGCAATGGCCAGAGTTGTGCCAATCCGAAGCCAGGAGCCAGGAGCTTCATCCGGGTCTCCCACATGAGTGCAGGGGCCCAAGCACTTGGGCCATCTTCCACTGCTTCCCGAGGCCATAGCAGAGAGCTAGATTGGAAGTGGAGCAGCCAGGACTTGAACCAGAACCCATATGGGATGCCAGCACTGCAGGCAGTGGCCTTACCTGCTACACCACAGTGCCAGCCCTGACAAATGTTTAACAACAAGAGCCATAATTTCCAAATTAGCACATGATGTGAGGCTCTAGTCATTTCTCTTGGATGCTCTTTAATTCCTCCTAGCTAAAATATAAAATCCGGCCGGCGCCATGGCTCAATAGACTAATCCTCCACCTAGCGGCTCCGGCACACCGGGTTCTAGTCCCGGTCAGGGTGCCGGATTCTGTCCCGGTTGCCCCTCTTCCAGGCCAGCTCTCTGCTGTGGCCTGGGAGTGCAGTGGAGGATGGCCCAAGTGCTTGGGCCCTGCACCCCATGGGAGACCAGGAGAAGCACCTGGCTCCTGCCTTCAGATCAGCGCGGTGCGCCGGCCTCAGCAGCCATTGGGGGGTGAACCAACGGCAAAAGGAAGACCTTTCTCTCTGTCTCTCTCTCTCACTGTCCACTCTGCCTGTAAAAAAAAAAAAAAATGTTTGTCTATTTGAAAGGCAGAATGATAGAGAGGGACAGAGGGGTATACAGAAAAAAGAGAAAGATCTTCCATCCATTGGTTCTCTCCAAGTGGCCACAACAGCCCAGACTAGTCCAGGCGGAAACCAGGAACCTGGAATCCGGTCCGGGTCCTCCCACATGGGTGCAGGGCCCAAGCACTTGGGCCATCTTCTGCTTTCCCAGATGCATTAGCAGGGGGCTGGACCGGAAGCAGAGCATCAAGAACTCAAACAACACTCATGGTTGCAGGTGTCACAAGTGGTAGCTTAATCCAGTGCATCACAATGTGAGCCCCCAAAATTTTAAATAGGGGCAGTCATGTGGCACAGTGGGTTAAGCCACTGCTAGGATGCCCACATCCCATATCAGAGTGCCTGGAACCAAGTCCCACCTCCACTTCCAAGTCAGCTTCCCGCTGAAGCACACCTGGGAGGCAGCAGGTTGTGGCTCAAGTACTCGAGTCCCTGCCCGCCCCATGGATGCAGCCTAGGCCTGCCCGCACTGTTACAGGCACTTGAGATAGCAGATAGGAGATCTCTCTGTGTCTGTCTCTCTACCTTTAAAATTCTGGAGAAAATGATATTTTAAGCAGATTTAGATTTGTGAAATGCATAAATATCTTTTCCTGAACGTGAGCTTGTGTGGCCTGGTGGGCTTATTTGACACATGGGGTGTGAGGTGTGCTAGAGCTTCTGAGGTCAGAATCCCAGCTTGGAGGAGTGAGGGGAAGGCCCTGCCACGGAGCCATGGCTTCTGATCCAGAAACTAACGTGGGGCCCAGGAACCGCATTTCTTTTTTTTTTTTTTTTCTTTTCTTTGACAGGCAGAGTGGACAGTGAGAGAGAGAGACAGAGAGAAAGGTCTTCCTTTTGCCGTTGGTTCACCCCCCAATGGCTGCTGAGGCCAGCACATCGCGCTGATCTGAAGGCAGGAGCCAGGTGCTTCTCCTGGTCTCCCATGGGGTGCAGGGCCCAAGCATTTGGGCCATCCTCCACTGCACTCCCTGGCCACAGCAGAGAGCTGGCCTGGAAGAGGGGCGACCGGGACAGAATCCGGCGCCCCGACCGGGACTAGAACCCAGTGTGCTGGTGCCGAAAGGCGGAGGATTAGCCTAGTGAGCCGCGGCGCTAGCCTGGGAGCCGCATTTCCAACCAGCACCAGCCAGTTCCCACTTAGGGAAAGGTTGCTTTGGCTAATGGGGAGCTATAGAGGAAACTCTATAGGGGAGCGATGAGCTGGAGAGAAGCCTCATGGGAGCTCAGCTTCAGCAAAAGAGGGTGCAGAGGGGGTCTGGGTGGGTGTGGCTTGGGGTCAGAACTGGCTCAGCATCAGGGAAACCAGCTCCAGGATGTTAGGACACTGTGTGTAATGTTCCTGTGTGTGTGTGTGTGTGTGTGTGTGTGTTTAAGATTTATTTTATTTATTTGAAAGGCACAATTACAGAGAGAGAGAGGGAGAGACAGAGTGACATCTTCCATCTGCTGGTTCACTCCCCAAATGGCCACAACAGCCAGGGCTGGGCGATGCTGAAGTTAGGAGCCAGGAGCTCCATCTGGGTCTCCCACATGGGCGCAGGGGCCCAAGCACTTGAGTCATCCTCTAATGCTTTCCCAGGTGCATTAGCAGGGAGCTGGACTGAAAGTGGATCAGCCGGGACTCGAACCGGCTCCAGTATGGGATACCGGTGTCACAGGCGGTAGCTTTACCTGCTATGCCACAGTGCCGGCCCCACCTGTGTATGCTTTCTTGGGAGACCACCCATAGCTTTTATCAGATCCTTAAGAAAGAGGACCACACCCAAAACTGTCCATCCCGTCGGCATTTCCTATCCAGTAGGTCCCCAAGCCCCAGGACTAACGCAAGGTTTATGAGAACAGTGGCACAGGAAGCTACGCTGTAGCCTGCAGCGCCACCTTGAGTCCCAGCTGCTCAGCTTCCGATCCTGCTCCCTGCTAAGACATCCCGGAAAGTAGCCAAGGATGGCCCAAGTAGTTGCGCTTCTGCCACCCATGTGGGAGACCTGGATGAAGCTCCCGGCTCCCGGCTTCGGTCTGGCCCAGTCTCTGCCATTGAGGCTGTGTGGGGAGTGAAGCAGTGGATGGAAGATCTATCTCTCTGTCGCTCTCCCATTCAATTAAATAAATAAAT